TAGGAGTATATGGTCATATTGGAGTACAAGTGAAGGCAAGAACAAATCCTACGCTATCCTATGTTTCCTAAATAATCATGATACTCAACATTGCAATCTAATTCAGTAAGCATATTGTAAATGCAAACAGAATACAACTGAACTCCAACATATTACCGCAATAACTTTTTGTTTCACTATACAGTACTAGCATTTACTCTGTTCTGTTCTGCATACATCTATATCTAAAATAGTTCTTTCCATTGTCTAAAAATCATATAGACAAATCATATCTAAAACAGTTTTTATTTAGAAATATATTTATTAAACCTGCATATCAAATATGTTAAACATGTATAGAAAAATGTTAATCATGCTTACAAAAAATCATGACATTCAAAAAATGCCACCTGTTTACAAAAAATGTATGCCCCATTTTTTAAAAAGTATACAAGGTAAAACAATGTTTTACATTAAAATAATGTATGTTAAATTTGGGAAAAAATGTTCATGAATTTAAAAATATTTGGCAAATCATAAAATGTTTATGAATTCAAACAATACTCATGATTTATAAAAATGTTCAGGAAATCATAAATTTTTCATGAATTCCAAAAATTCATTATTTGAAAACAAATCAGGAAATAAAAATGTTTCTGATTCTCAAAATATGTCCACATATTCAAAATTTGTTCACAGTTAAAAAAAGTGTTCAGGAAATCAAAAGAAATTGTGATCTGAAAATATGTCCTCATATTAATTTTTTTACGGTTTTGGAAAAAATGGTCCGGAAAATAGAAATGTTTCACGCATTAAAAATGATTACGAATTTGAAACAATGTTTGCGAATTAAAAAAATGTTCATGCTTCAAAAAAATCAAAAAAGTTTGTGAAGTAAAAATTGTTCCCAAATTTCAGAAAAGTTCATCTATTCAAAAATGTTCATGCATTTCAAAAAAAGTTCGTTGAACCAAAAAATTGTTCATGAATTCCAAACATTGTTCCCAAATTTGAAAAGATGTTTATCGATTCAAAAAATGTTTGCCGATTCAAAAAAATGTTCACGAGTTTCAAGAATGTTTCTAAAGGTTTTCTATCGAAAGCCCGCCCTAGCCTTGAAGCAACTTCCAACCTATTTTGCCATAAGACACCGGTTCAGAGCCCACCTTATCAAACATGATCCGTTACACTAGAGCTACAAAATGAATCTTGTTGGTATTTCGGTGTGAGTTTGAGCAATCTGGGAAACATGTAATGATGCATGCTTTCGAGATAAATATCCTTCAGAAACAAGGTAAAAAAAAATCCTTCAGAAACATGTAATGATGGATGCTACCATGTAAGCATAGTATATTGAATGCTCTGCAATCTAATTCAGTAAGCATATTGTAAATGCGCATAGTGATTAAACAGAATACAACTGAGCTCCAACATATTACCGCAATAACTTTTTGTTTCAGTATACAGTACTAGCATTTACCCTGTGGATCGGCAGCACAAGCTGACCCACGGCCCCGAGTTAAAAATCTTGGAATCATCAACCGTCAGGTTCAAGGCTACCAACACAAACTGGCCATCAGCTTGCTCAGATTTACCAAAAACTACAAAGCAATCTCCAAAAAGAAAAATTGGCAACACTCTAGGGAAAGTTTAGAAGCAAAAAGAATTTACCAAAAACTACAAAGCAATCTCCAAAAAGAAAAATTGGCAACACTCTAGGGAAAGTTTAGAAGCAAAAAGAAATTCCGTCGCCGGGACTTGAACCCGGGTCTCTCGGGTGAGAGCCGAGTATCCTAACCACCTAGACTACGACGGACTCGTGTTGAAGAAAATACTGGAACTTATCTATTCTAGTGGCATGTCTGTCCTGTACACAACACAAAACAGACATGGGTGGCAACATCCCTGAACCGAGCAACAGCTACATTTGCTCGCTGTAGCTCTCTTTGATCCATAACACATCTGAATTTCCAACGGCGACGCATGATCGAATCCCAGTTGGGGAGAAAATTCGAGCAATATGCCTCCCAATTGATCGGCAGAAGCTGACCCCTACAACTGCTCAAAGTCTGGAATCATCAACCATCAGTGTCTCTCAGCCATATAAACATCTAAAGGTTCAATAAAGATTACCATCACAAAGTAGCAATTAGCTCATCAAGCAACTAATGGCTTGCCAATGCTTAGCTTTTACAGGCATTTGCTTTTACCGAAAAAACTAGCAGGAAGAAAAATAAAAATGTAGATAACTGTCCATCACCTAGAGAAGCATCCTGAAGCCTTAACAGTTAACACTACTGAAGAGATTATTGAGATTCAGGTTCAGGGTGAATCTGTCTTTCCTTTATCAACTAGGGAAGTCCAAATGGTCAGGTAGTGAATTTCGAATTCTGGATAAACAGTGAGCATGTATGTACAGAGGAGGAGTTACATGTCAAGTCTTCGATGAAATTAGTCTTTAAGAATTAAGACTGCTAAGTTGCACCACATCTGATATATTCTTAATAATAATACAAAGCCCTGGCGAAAGAACTTCATTTCTAGACAAACTACCTGGTACTGGTTGGAGAAAGAGAAATGGCCTTGCCAGTTTTGCCTGTGAGAACAATGATAAAATTTCTCAAGTCCCACAGACAGCCACATCGCCGTCGCCATCCACATCTACACGCCGGTCCTCGATTGCCGCAGAGAAGCACCCGCCGAACCCACCTCTGCTGCTCGTCTCAATGTTGTGCGTGAACCTTGATTTGTTGTTGTATGGTGAACAACACATGGAGGGAGCCATTGGAGTGTAGAGAGCCGCCGGCTTAGAGGGAGCCCCATCAGATAGGCCCACGGCAACGGTTGGTGCTTAGGGTTTCATGGAGGATAAAGGTTATATAAGGGAGACGTGTGACGTTCGATGCAATTCTCTAGAGTCAACAGGAGTGACACCCGTCTGATGAAAATCAAGAACAAAAAACGGTATCTCCAGGCCCCAATAGTTGAACAACGCCAGCAGTTGCACCACCATGGCTTGCTGTTTTTAGAGGGTTTTGCCGTTGAACTCGAACAACTGCTAGCTGACGTTTCATCCCCAGGCCCCACTACTTTGGACAGGTTTTTGACCACCTGTCTGCCTCTGAAATTCCTCCTGAATGAGTTTTTTTTAATCATGTCCACCATCCTGTCCATCGTCCGAACACATCTTGATCCTTTACCCAAATGAGTGTAAGAAGATGCACCCCGGAGTATGATTTTTTATCATCCCTCGTTGGCAATTTGAGAATCTCATTTCGGACTAGCTAGGTACCAGATCAGCTGAGCCCAGCCAATGCGCTAACCCCACCTTTACTTTCTCCATCATGGCCGACACATTTTATGGCAACATGTCTCTGCCATGGAACTCGGGGAGGATCCACATTTCCCTGAACTGCAAGACGACGCAGGTAACCGCGGCCAGGTTCAAGTTGGGAGGGAGCTCTTTGTGCTCCGTCATGGGTTGGAGCTGGAGGCCTGTGTGTTGAGGAAGGACTTGTGGTTGACATTGACGCGGGTCCCACAGATGTAGGCGCAGGAGCAGTAGCTACATTGCCTCTGCATGTGGTAGGAGGCGACAAGGTGGAAGATGAGGTCATGTCGGGGGATACCATCTAGGAGTTGGAGCCACATGAAGTCAAGGAGGCTGAGGTGGCGGAGGGCGGGCTCCGTATCGTGGTCGTTAGGCCAGCCCCGAAGAGAGGATGGAGGCTGGTAGATGTGGAACCCGGTGGTGGGAATCTCCTTGGACCTGCCGCCGACACTGACCATGGCGGTGTTGCAGATCTGTTATGAAATTGTGTTGTGATACTACCGTTCTACCTTCATAAAGTGCATGTCATGTGCACGATGTCTTTGGTGGGCGTCTTGGGAATGATACCATGCATACTCTAGAGGAAGTTCTAGATCTGTATAGTGCCTCTCTCAGGGACGCTACATGTTTTCTCAGAGGAAGATGCAACATCTCATTGATATCATACAGAAGAAAAGTAGTTACATCTGGCATAACAAAAGATTATTTTTATCTCAAAATACAACACATACTTAAAAACTAAAGGTGATGTAAAATAGAAGCACTAAAACAATCATGCTTCTAACTAGACAATGATAATTCAAATAGTTTCATGGTACAGTTGGCAAAATTAAAGGAATGATCAGTCAACAACTGTCCAACACACATGCAAAAACACCTTATGCTGTGCTGACCGGCATCACTATCCATCCATGATAGCATCCTCTCCAATGGAACCCTACAGTGAGAAAAAATGATTTAAATACACTTGTCTAGCTCGACAATTCATATGCAAAGACGTGATACATGTTAATAAGAAATGTTCTTACGTCATTTAGAAGGTTGGCAATATCATCCGATGACAAGTCATTAATGTCATTAAGTAGATCATTAGGCTCTTGCTGATTAACCATACTTTCTTGCATAGGAAGAATGCCAACTACATCCCCGCCATCAGGCATTGGAGTTAATTCGACGAAACCATCTGTCCGAAGGTTGGAAAGTGTGGAAATAGTTCTTCCACAATTAACCATATTAATCTCGGGTTTTGAAGTGCTACCAACACCAAGTGCAGAATTGCCATTCAACATCGTCCCTACTGAGCTTGTGTTGTTTGCTATGTTGAATGGCGATATTTTTTCATTGAAACCTGACCGTAATGTAGTGATGCTACCTCTGTTAACCATCTGAGATGGCGCCACTGGAGTAGTGTTGTGCGCATTCAATATCCCTACAGAGCTTGGGTTAGTAGGTATGTTGAATGGAACTATTTGTTCATTGAAACCTGCCACTGATATGGTGTTGCCAATGAATGGTGGCAATTGATTTTGCATCAACATTCCGCTAGATGGTGTTTCATAGCTTGTCAATTGGTTGATCGTTGGTATATTCACACGTGGCGGGACATGAGATGTTCCACCCCTATGAAGAATACCGGTCAAGTTTACCTGCATTGAAGACCATCGGGGGTTATTATAGTTCCCAGCAAATCCTAGAAAAATGGAACAACTATGCCAAGCATCTGTGTAGAAGGTGCATTCATGTGGGTATGATAATGTTTAATAGACTCGAGAGGTTGCACCTGGTACTCATTTGTGGGTGCAGAGCTCCCGCCACCACCTGATGTGTTTGTTAAGTGACTTCGAAGATTTGATGGGGTTTTTCCTTTACTTGTCTCCATAAACATTCCACGCATGGAGTCAACATAGGAAGTACCAGAGCTATACGAGGAAAATTCATCTAACATTATGTCATCGAGTATGCCATTGTATAGGCTAATGGGAGGGTCTTCGGGATCTGCAAATCTTCTCGCATCCGGTGTGTTTGGAACCAAATACCTCGACATTCTTCCACCATGGATTAACGACCCCATGCACAAGTTGCTCTGATTGTCCGTCAGCTGGCCTAATTGACTAGTTGCACCGAAATAATTTGGAATCCAGGAGGGGTTGCTACACGAGGACACATGCCATCTTCCATGCTCATGGTTATGCATAAAATTCCCCTGATTCCCCATGGATGAGTTTTGTCTTTCCCTTGCATCACCGAGTGGATTTGATTTGACTCTATTCAAGTACAATCTATACTTCTGAAATAAAATTATAGACAAAATAACCATGTATGAGATGCATGCTCATGGAAAAAAAGTAATGGATGACATGTGGGAACAAGAAAAACTAAAAGTGTTGCACGGGTTCTTATAGAATGTGTGGGTCATGCATTTTACAAGATATGCCATACCTCTCCAGGGGCAAAAGGAATTATAATAACACACATCTTCGTGATCCATGCATTACTAAAGCTTTGATTGTTATGTTCCCACAAAATAAAAGCTTGCACTTATATATGTGAAAAAATGTTAGACTATGAATAATAGAAACGCAAACATCAAAAATAAGCATAAGGAATAAAAATAAACCTGTAGATGACTCGCAATATTATGTCTAGTGAGGCAATCCACATTCATCAGCTCCAATATCTTGTTTGGAGCAGCCTCTACAAAAATGTCATAAAAATATTTGTTAACAAATAATATCAAATAACCACAAAGTGTTGTGTCAATGAATGAGGCGCAACATATATTTTCTTACTTTCAAGGCCGATCTGGTAGATAGCTTCTAGAAACTTGTTATGAAGCTCAGTTGTCCATGCCACCCTCATCTTCTTCTGGGTAGTGGATGCATGAGTGCTCTCTTTGTTCTCATTAGAACCATCTTCATCATTGCTCTTACTCTTTGAGTCCTTACTCTTGGCAAGAGTCCCAGTATGTACTCTCTGGCCGTCATCATTATCCCTACTCATGTGGCTTATTGATTGGGATCTTCTCCTACTCTCAACATGCTGCCATATGTTTTTGAGCTCGTTGGTTTGCACTGGCTTCATCAAATAGTCACACGCCCCATAGTTTATCCCCTTCATCACGGCCTTCTTGTCGCAATCCACTGATAGCACTGCATGCCATACGACCAACAACTTAGCTTTGGAATTCAAATGTTCAACAAAATCTATTAAACTGAGCATAAATTTTTGTCCGAGTGCTTATAGACAGAAAAATGGCTTCGCTGTTTTCCAAATGTGCCGTGCAAGTGGGGAAGCAAAAATGTTACACATGATTTTCAAATGATATCATGACTACGATAAATCCGGTGTTTCAATGCAAACTAAATGGGAAAACATTCACACACTCAATACAATTGTAAAAAAATAATTGTAACACAATGCCTAAACCATCATCACAACATGTTCCAACTAGGTAAATCAGATCACCACATCAAACTATTGGGGAACCACAAGATCTATTACATATTGTTGAACATGTTTCTCTATCATACTAGTGAACAATTGTCGGCCCAAGCAATGTTTTGAGCATGTTAAGCGGTCACACACATATTAGTTTTTATATGGTAAGCGATATAACCTATGGGATATTATTACAATTTAGAAAAATAAATATTTGTGGTTGCACTTCCTTTCAAAAATAATGTGACAGCATAATAGTTTTCTTGTTTAGACTCAACAAATCTGCACGATTTTGATATGATACATGGGTGACCTACTCAATGTATCTTCTTAGAAGTGGCACTCCTACTTTATATGCTATTCTCGTAGATAGTTTTAACTACTAACAATCTCAAGGATATTAAAGATGAATAATCCTTGAATAATGTCAATACAACTTCTCTGGTTTCGGAATTGTATTACTCATGCCACCATAGAAAACAGGTATGGTGCAGTTGTATACTTTTTGTAATTGGAAAGACTAGAAATTTAAGATAGTTTAGAAAACAATTAAACATAATTTTGCCTTATCATGGAAAAAGGATATATTATAGATTTAGTTCTTATGACTAGGATTTCACAATTTACACAATACAAAACTAAATAATGTCCATAAATGCACCCATCGAACACGTACATAGTGGGGTCTACATTGCATTGGAGTGATACGTACTCTTACTAAGCTAGATTACCCATATATATTGTATGCATGATACTGAACTCTAGACTTCGGCATTACTTACTAAATTAGTAAAAACAGATGTATATAATCCATACGACATGTTTGAATGTAAATGGGACATAAATTGATCGAAAATAGAACCAGTTCCTACAGAAAGAAAAACATCTTGTTGCTTAACTAAATGGGATACATGACCATCTCTCTAGCATACTAAACACAATTAACACAAATATTGAAGTCATTAATTAATAGGATATCATAACTCACGTGCGACCATATCCACCTCCATTCCCCTCCGCCACTACCCATTCGATCTGATGGATGTATAGTCAGATAGGATCCCATTGGTTCGGGTGAGGAACCGACACCACTATGTATGGATCTTGCGCCCCCCCTCCTAATTTATGTGTCGATCCACCTCCGCTCTGCTACCCCAGTGGCCATCCGATCAAACGGATGAACGGTTAGATGGGATCCCACTGGTTCAGTCTGGGGACCTCACTCTTTAGACTTTCTCAAAGTTAAAAATAGTATGTGCATGCTGTGCATATGTGATTTCACAAAATCCTCCTAAAAATGTAGGATCTCACATGCTGCCCAATTAAAGGAATACATACCGTTTCAGTGTATCTTCAAGATTCTGGAGTAAAAGTACTCCTTAAAAACAGTTGTACATGCAAAAATAAAATTAGGACTTCGGGTTGAGTCGTGAGTGTATACTGATGACGGGCAGATCCATCTCGAGGCCAATGAGCTCACGCAACCCCTCCGGTAAGAGGGCCTCTAGTACCTTGAGGCAGACGCGGTCGTCGTCCACCGCGAGCACACGCAACCCCTCCGGGAACTTGTCCTCCGCCGCATCCTCCATCATCTGCCTCTGGTGCCCACCCATCCCGGCCATGTTTTCCGAGCTTCTTCCCACCTGACAAAGCAAACACCATCAAGAAAACACTGATTAAGAAACAATGGGAAGGCAGCAATCTAAGAACACAACGCAAAAATCTCTATTAATTAGATAGTAGATCCCTCCTTTCCCACCTCCTAGAGTGGCTTCCTCGCTGCAGGCGGACGGAACAGGAGAAGAGAGCAGGACTGCAGTGGTGAGAAGGGATGGAGGATGCAGGGAGCTATTTGTAGGAGGGGAGTTGAAGTCTTGCGCTCCAGAGGTCAAAGACTTTCTTACTCCATAATTTCTGTAGCTACTGCATTTGTTTTGGCGATGTCAATGTTTGTGTCTGCATGTGCCGTCTGCCCATGGTTCCTCTTCCATGAGAGGAGAGCAAAACCAAGATATCATCTGAATCTGAATTTTAGTACAAAGGAGAGTAGTCTCTTGCTTTGTTCGGTTGCATGGCCAGTCAATTAACAAAAAAAATTGCACTTCCGTCGCCGGGACTTGAACCCGGGTCTCTCGGGTGAGAGCCGAGTATCCTAACCACCTAGACTACGACGGATTTGTGTTAGTATACATACTAAAACACATGTGTTCATGTCGCATGTCTGTTCGTGTACACCACACAAAACAGCAGGAACGATATCTGAATCGCAGTTTTGCTTTTTCAGAGATGGCTATAAAACATCAACAAACCAAGAACAAATTACGTAATTTGAATTCCGCCAAGCACGCGAACACATGGATTGTTCCCAAATTCAGGCAAAACGGAAACTGAGAACCCAGGCCAGCATATGATGAGTTGGTTTTGGGCAAAATTCCAGCAATCTGCCTGACTCCCTGAGTTGAGCAACCATACAGTGTATGCAGGTACGCAACTCATCAAATAGTCAAATACCATCAACAAACTTGCTGATGCCTGGGATGGGGTGGACCTGAAGTTAACTTTCAGAAGATGTGTAGAACTGTAGATGATAGGCTCCTCCAATAGTGGTTTGACCTGACCAGTATTGTTAGATCTATTTCTTTCTCTGGGGAGGAGGATGCCCTTATATGGAAGCTATCTTCCTTTGGGTTTTATACTGTCAGCTCTCTTTATGCGGTTGTTAATTTTCGAGGCATAGTCCCTGTGTTTGTCCCTGATGTTTGGTAGATCCATGTCCCCCCAGGATCCATAGTCCCTATGGAAGCTATTTTCCTGTGGCTTCTTTCTCACAACAAACTTCTCACTAGAGATAATCTTGCCAAACGTCAGCATGTGGATGATCTTACCTGCTTGTTTTGCGAGGAGCCAGAAACCTGTAACCACCTCTTCTTCGAATGTGTGGTGGCCAGAGAAATTTGGCGCAGAATTCGTATGCTTACTGGGTGTAACCCTGAGCCAGGTTTTGAAGAGGTGGCGGGGTGGTGGATTTGCAATAAGAAACACTTAACTGACAATGTTCTACATGCGGCTGTTATTTGGGCCATTTAGAAGTGTTAGACTAATATGTCACGTATCGTGACATATCTCCTAATCCCCTAAATCGAGGAGAATTGATATTGTTGTGATCTCCCATTTATGATTAGGATTGTAAATCTGTCTATATATTGACATGCAATGGAAAAGCCCAAATGTGGCAACAATTCCTAAATCTTTCGTGGTATCGGCCTAAGCACATCCTCTCGCTTCCGCTCCCTCCAACCCTAGCGCCGCCGACCCCTGTTCCCGCGCCGCCGGCCAACACCTCCCTCCCCTCCCATCCCATGGCGCCCTCTGAACCACCTGCTCCCCATCCCAACGCCGGCCTCTGGGCGCAGGCCACCGCCATCCCAAGCGTCCGCTCTCTCGTCCCCATCGTCCTCGAGTTCAAGAGCGCCGTCTTCCCCAAGTGGAGGACCTTCTTCAACATCGCTGTCACCACCTACGCCCTCGAGGACCACCTCACCACCGAGACGCCCCCCACCGATCCAACATGGCGCCGCCTCGACGTCTTGGTACTCCGCTGGCTCTACGGCTCCATGGCCATGGACATCGTCGACCTCGTCATGCCCACCGACCCTGCCACCGCCACGGCCTACAAGGTCTGGACCTCCGTCCTCGCCCTCTTCAACGACAACCAAAAGAGCCGCGAGATTTATCTCACCGAGGAGTTCCACAACATCAAGCAGGAGGATCGGTCCATCACCGAGTACCTTCACCTGCAAAAGACGGCGGCTGACGCTCTTGCCGAGGTCGGTGCCCCCGTCTCCGACCCCGAGCTCGTCACCAACATCATCAAGGGCCTTCACGAGCGCTTCGACAGCGTCGCCGACATCGCCCCCTCCTCACGCCGTTCCCTACCTTCCTCAACTTCCACAACATGCTGCTGCTCCACGAGATGAAGGCTTCCCGGCGCTCCACCAACACATCGGCCTCCGCTTTCTACGCCGCCAAAGGACCAGCCCCTGCTCCTCCCAGCGGCGGCGGGTCGTCCTCCGGGGGTGGTGGTGGCGCTCCTTCCGGTGGGGGCGGTGGCGGCCAGCCATGGCGGGCTCCTGCTCCCGCCCACAACCCGCATGCCACCGGCTATGGCAAGGGGAAGGGCAAGAACAAGGGCTACAAGCCCGCCGGCGGTGCTCCTCCAATGCCCACTCCGTTCAACCCTTGGATAGGAGCCATCCAGATGTGGCCCATGCAGTTGCGCCCCAACAGCACCAGCGGCATCCTTGGAAGGGGTCCGGGATCACGCGCCCATGCCTACATGGCCGCTCCCCCGGCTGCTCTCGGCGCGCCCTACGGTGGCTATGGCGCAGCTCCGTTCGGCGCCGTGCTGCCCTACGCCACAACACCAACGCCGGCACCATCATGGGACACCGCCACTCTCGCTCAACACTTCACCAACATGACGTTGTAGCAGCCCTCTCCCGAGTGGGTTATGGACAGCAGCGCGACCGCCCACCTCCCCTCCGATGCCGGTATCTTATCATCTCTTTCTCCCCATCCTATTTATCGTCGCGTGGTGGTCGGCGACGGTTCCACCGTTCCCGTCACCACATCCGGTCATTCCTCCCTTCCCTCCCTCTTTCCCAATAGACCTCTTCACTTACGTCATGTCTTAGTCACACCTAACATTATCAAAAATCTTATTTCCGTTCGTCAATTCACTACTGATAATCATTGCATCGTCGCTTTTGACCCTTTTGCTTTCTCTGTGAAGGACCTTCATTCCCGGCGCGAGATCCTTTGGTGCAATAGTACGGGGGAGCTCTACACGTTCACATGTCCTCCGCCTCCTCGAGCCCTCGCCACGCTCACCGCCCCTCATGATGTGTGGCACCGTCGCCTCGGTCACCCCGGCCATGACGCCTATCGTCGCCTCTCGCAACATATTTCTCTTTCTTGTACTAGACAAATAAACCAAACCACTTTATGTCATGCTTGTCAACTAGGCCGTCATGTACGTTTACCTTTTTCCTCTTCCACTACTCGTACAACTCGTCCATTCGAGTTAGTCCATTGTGATCTTTGGACTTCACCGATCTTGAGTGTTTCTGGCAATAAATATTTTTTAGTCATTTTTGATGATTTCACTCATTTTCTATGGACTATTCCGCTTCGCCAAAAATCGGATGCTTACGTCTCGCTCTCCGCTTTCCGCGCGTTCGCTCACACTCAGTTTGGCTTACCTCTCGTGTCCATACAATGCAACAACGGTCGCGAGTTCGACAATAATAAACTTCACTCTCTCGCCGCGACGCACGCCATTCACATTCGCTTCTCTTGCCCATACACATCCTAACAAAATGGTAAAGCTGAACGCATCATTCGCACTGTTAATGACATTGTGCGTTCTCTCCTATTTCAGGCTAGCTTACCACCTCGTTATTAGGCCGAAGCACTTCACACCGCCACTCACGTCCTTAACCGTCTTCCTACAAAAGCAATCAGCAACCTCTCTCCATACTCTGCCCTTCACAACAACCATCCCGATTATTCATCACTACGCGTCTTCGGTTGCCTATGCTATCCCAACACCGCCTCCACCATGCCACATAAACTGTCGCCGCGTTCGAGTGCTTGCGTTTTTCTTGGCTACTCCTCTCATCACAAGGGATATCGGTGCATGGACCTCACTATCCACCGCATCATCATCTCTCGTCATATCGTATTCGATGAGATGACCTTTCCCTTTGCCTCCCCACAGCCTACCAACGCAACCACGTACGACTTTCTCGCCGACGACGACAACCTACCCATAGTTGTCCCACTCCTTCAGATTACTACACCTCCACCCACCCCACCACCCTCCCCTCCTCCCGCACCTCCCTCACCATCCGCACCACCCTCACCACCCGGCCCTCCCTCACCGGGCGCCCCTCCTGCACCCACTCATCGCACGCGCAGCACCTCAGGCATCCACAAGGGGCCTCGCGAGCGGCTTAACCTGCATGTTTCATCTGTCAGCAGGTACTCACCGTTTCCCACCTCCGTCCGTGCAGCTCTCAAGGATCCCAACTGGCTCGATGCTATGACTGCGGAGTACCGCGCTCTCCTCAGCAACAACACTTGGGATCTTGTGCCTCCTCCTCGGGATGCTAACATCGTCTCCGGCAAGTGGGTTTTTCGCCACAAGCTCAAGCCCGATGGCTCCCTCGATCGCTATAAAGCTCGTTGGGTGCTTCGAGGTTTCTCTCAGGAGTCAGGTGTCGACTTCGACGAGACATTCAACCCGGTTGTCAAACCGTCCACCGTGCGTGTCATCCTCTCAATCGCGCTCTCTCTTAACTGGGAGACTCATCAGCTCGACGTCAAGAACGCCTTTCTGCATGGCACTCTTGCTGAGGTTGTCTACTGTCGTCAACCCACTGGCTTCATCGACTCCAGTCGCCCCGACCACGTCTGTTGGCTGAACCGTTCACTCTACGGTCTCAAGCAGGCTCCTCGTGCGTGGTACCAACGCTTTGCTGCCTTCATCACCTCGACCGGCTTCATATGCTCACGCTCAAACACTTCGTTGTTCGTCCTCCGGTGTGCGGAAGGTAGGACC